GCAGCCTCGTGTAGCCACACCACCAGCACCAAAACAGCACAGACCTCCCCCTCCCCTGCCCCAGCACCTCCTCGGAACCCCTCCTGCCTACAGAGATCTAGTTTGTGATTTATTTTTTAGTAAAAGAAGAAGAAAAGAAAAAAAACGCCAACTGACCTAACTCTGGCCCTGTCTCTCCTTGAGATGACGCTAATTGTGAGGAGCCGTCTGTAGAAACTGCTGACCTACACGCTCACACATCCTCACGTCCTGCCAGCCCAGCTGGCCTCCTGCACTCATGCTGGCCCCATGTAGCACTTTGTTGCCCTGTTCCTGAGAGGCTTGATGACCTGCTGCTTTCGAGGCACTGTGTCTTCCGTTTGCTACTTGACCCCCTTCCCCTGCCTTGCATTTACCTGGCCATAGGTTTATACCTAACCCAAAACTTCAGCAGCTTCAGAGAGGGACAGACTCACCCATGCCAAGGCTCAGCCTTGGCTCACTAACGGGGCTGGAGTTCCCCCTGCCACCGCTGCTGCTGCCTGCTGAGCTGGAGCTGAGAGTTGTGCCACTTGCCACGCTTCTCTTCATCGCTCGTCAATGTTATCTCCTTCCTGCAGCACATGGTTCGGGGCGAGGGAGCGCACCGAGAGCATGAGAGGAGGAGAGACTGCCCTGAGCTGCAGCACAGCACAAGGAAGGCCTCACTCTGAACACCAAAACTGTTTCTGTTGTTACACTGGAGCATTGTACCAAGAGACCTCTGCTGTGACCTAGCACACCTCATCACATGTAAATACACCTATATGGTAGAGTATGTATGGAGCATGCTTACTAAAGGAAACACCAAGCAGTTCTGAGGGAGCAGAAGAGAGATATTCAACCCTGGGACCTTCCTGGGGTGGATGGGCAGTTCTCCAAAGAGATGGCATTAAGAGGTGCCCTCCCACCCAAGCACACATACACTGTCACACACATGTGCACACACACACTCACACACACACACACAAAGATGGTCGTCTTTGGCATGAAAGACACCCACCTCTGCTTTCCCTTGTACTGGTTTGTGTTTCCTTCCCACCCTGTTTTTCATATTCTCAAAGAAAAAACAAGTATTATGTTCAGCTTGAGAGATGGGTGATCCCTTTACTTAGCCTCTTTCTCCTGTGTTAGAGAGAAAGGGCTCTTTAGAGACTATCCACACAAGATCCCAGCTGTATCCCCTTGCCCCATCAGCCCTTCCTGAAGGAAAGCTCCACACACACTAGCTCCAAGGCCTCTTCTCCTCCCTTCCTCCCTCCCTATCACAGCTTCAAAGTGAGGGGAGGGGAAGATCCTGAGACAGAGATGACAGCTCAGCTCCACTGCTTTATTGGGGACATTGATGTACGGGAAGACAGCATTAAAAATGGGCTAGGCCTGTATTTTTAGAAGAAAAAAAACTCTGAGAAAATAGGGAGGGGAAGATATTAATTAGCTTAAAGGCTTTGGTCTCACTCACTTGCTCTATCTCCCTTCAAGGCTTAGGAAGATCATCTTTAGGATGTTTAAATAGGACAGAATGCCTGTTATGGCCTTTATTCTTATTTTAGTGGGGAAGAAAGAAATGCTTTTACTTCCCACGTGAAGCTGAGACATGGGCACCAGCTGCTGATGACACAGCTGTTGGGTGAGGAAAGATAAGCGTTGCTGGCAGTGGTATGGATGTGCTAAAGGTCAGGGAAAGGAGGACAGTGAAGGATAGATGCAGGAAGGATTTTTTGACTTTATGGGGTAAAAGCAGCAATATTCTTAACCGATACTCCCCCACACTTATCCCTGGGGCTATTACCAGTGGCCAAAACCCCTGTGCATCAGGGTTGGCCTGCCTCAGTGCTGCTTGGATGCCATCTGGCCCCGCTGAGGCGTTCAGAGGAAAGCTCGTACATTTGCCTGGGCACCAGCCCAGCTGGGGCTAGGAGAGCAGAAGGGGCTGCAGTGAAGGGTCCCCGGTGCTTGGCTAGCCCTCCAGGGCAGCGAGCCTGCCCACCTCTGGCACCCCTTACCTCTGAGCCTGACTCACGTACCGCGAGGCGCCGGCAGGCCTGGCCCGGCCGTTGCTTAGCCGTGCGACTGCTGCTGTTACCTGTAATAGCAGATGTATTGCCCAGGAGCCCTGAGGCACAGCCCCAAGGAGGCCTGTGAAAGCAGGGCACCAAAAACCTGTAAGAAAGTCATGCACGAAAGACCTGAGGCACTGAGGATGCCCCACAATCAGAGCCAGACCCACAGAGAGGCCCTCACCCTCTCTGCAGCACAAGCTCCAGTCTAGGGCTCAGCCCCTCATCCTTCAGCTGGCTGAGAAGTACGGCCCCCCTAACCTGCCCCTTGCTCCCTTCAGGGCGGCCACCTATCGCCCACACGTGTAGCCAGGATCTTGTCTGACTCGCCCGTAGCTCCCTGGAAAAGCTCACATCCAGCTGGCCATTTTGTATTTACTCACCGCTGAGGTAAAAGCGATGGTGCCCAAGGAGCCCCTCGCGCTGCTCGTACTCCTCAGCAGTCCCTTCGCTGTCTGAAAGCAACAGCACTGCTCATTTGCTGATTTTCTCCCTGAGACAGTGAGCCATGGAAGGGTGTATGTGTGTGTGTGTTTGTGTATGTTTGTGCGTGTGTTTGTTAAAGTAAATAAATCAGATTTTACTTGACATTTAACACAAAGTGACAACAACGAAAACCTTAAGGAACTTGACGAAATATTTTTTTAGATAAAATATTTATAACAATGCCTAAGAAGTTCCTGCAAGAGAGATTTGCTGCTTTAATAAATGATTGGGAAAGCTACAAGAATGCAAAAAAAAAAAAAAAGAAAAAAAGAAATAAGGAAGCTTTTTTTGAGATGCCCATCTTAATGCTGGATGGAGGCACATTAACTAAAGTGCCAAGATACCTGAGGCACAACAGTTTCTCAGGGCAAGTTGGCTCCCTTTCCCTGACCTTGCAAAGACTAATTTTGGCCTTGAGCTTTGGACAGAGAAGCAACCATAGATAACCCCTGCTTCTGTCAGGGTCAGCTGGAGAGATACCAAATCGTTTTATTCCAGATTCTAGTGAGAGTCTGCTCTAAATTTTGTCGTGTAGCTGAACCCCTTCAGACTTCACTTCAAAATAAGGATTTTTTTTTCCTTTGAAGGTTGGTCTAGAAGGATAACAAGCACTTTAAAGCATGTCTACACCTCATCTGATCTATTGTATTGTCTGTTCCCACAGCCCTCCCACATGCAAGTAAACCCACAGACTCGGTACACCTGTAGTGCTGTGAAGACACCCTTGCACACAGCCCAGTCATTGACAGGGTGCAGGCTAGCACGAGTATGTTAGTGACAGCGTAATGAAGGGCAAAAGGTGCACAGCAGCTCGCCATGAGGGATCAGCCCGAGGAAAATTCATCATCCGTTGGCAGCAGTGAGCCGGATCATGAGCCTAGTGTGATCTTTCAGGTTGTGGGATCAGGCAAGAAGCTGCAGCAGGGATAAGATCCATCAAAATTGCCGAGTGGCTTTTCCTTGCTCAATTCATATCCTTCCATATTAGAGGGGGGGGGGGGGGGGGGGGAGAAAAGACCAATAAGGACAATTCTGCAGTAAGTGTCCAATACTCTGTGGCCAAACAAGAGGTGGCTCTGTTGAAAGGTGGAAAAGATCAAAGTGCTGTTGAGCTCTGGGCAGTGGTGTCATGCAGATCTTCAGACTTCAGTCCTGATTCTCTCCTTCCCGTGCTGGTGCGAGTCCAGTGAAATTAATGTGCTTGCTGCAGCAGAAACGGGTTGGAAAAATGTGACTGGAGCATGAAACTTATCACAGACAAGTTGGGTATAATGCAGTATTTCGCTGCTGCTGTAGAACGGCTAATGCTGAAGTTTGGGGCACTGCTGTAGCAACACTGAATACTTCCTGCAAGACCTTCAAAGCATCCCACTGTGGGCATTTTCTGTCCTCCGTGTAGATGGAAGGTGTGGGTGCTCTCTGAAAGCAGTATTTCATCAGCGCTCAGGCTTCCTCGTGGAAAGGTTTCACCAGACTCGGAAGCATTTGAGAGCCTCTGAGCCATAGGAGTTTGAGTTTCGTGGTTCTTTTCTGAAGGCTCAACCTGCAGTTACATGAACACGTCTGCGAGGTTCCCACAGCAAACGTGAGTCCTGGATGGAGGGAGAGCCCGTGCGAGCGGGAGCCCCAGGGCCGCCCGCCGGCTGGAGCCGTCCCCGTCCCGCCCGCACCTCCGCACCCGCCCTGGGGCAGCAGCCTGGAGAGCACCCAGCGCTTCCGCAGCGGCCACCGCCCCATCTGAACGTGTCATTCTAAAAAGCAAAACCAACAACAGAAGTGTTATCTGTGTGTAGGCTTTTGAAAGCACCTGTCTGTCTGTCCGTACTTGTTTCCTGCTGTAAATATCACCAAGAAAAAGCTTCCTCTGGGAAAAGCGGTGTGGTCACACCTAGCAAAGAATCCAAATGGCTAACATTTTGTAACAAAATAACAAAAAAAAAATAGATCAGAGGTATTTTATCTGTTCGATTAATAGAGTTTTAGAAATTATATTGAGATATGTCACTTGTGCGCCAATGTCTTCTTTGCGTCAGCCGCGCTCCCCGTGCTCCGGGGCTCTGTCGGTGTCGGTGCGCGCAGGCGCAGGGCCTGCACAAGGGAGGCTCGGGAAGCTCGGGATGCTTCCCAGGCCCTCGCAGCTGCCGCTGAGGTTTCATTGCGGTGGCGGCGGCTGGGCCGGTGCTCGGCCTCTCTGAGGGTCACCCCCCGGCAGAAACAGCTTTGCAGGAGCAGGCGGTGACACAGACGAGTCACAGCTGCAGGGTGGCGGAGGGGAAACGGGGGAAGGCCAAGCTGCTCCGCGCTGCAGGTGCTTCCTTCCCGCCCATGGGGAGGCGCGAGCCGCCCCGCGCACTCGCTGCGGGTGCACGTGCTGCCCAAACCGGGGCGGCCGGAGCCCTGGCGTGAAGCGAGCGCGAGCGCGGCAGCCACCAGCGCTCAGCATGCAGGGCGGCGCGGCAGAGCGCGTGCAGGCACCTCTGCTCTGCCCTGCTCTGCTCTGCCCTGCTCTGGGGGGACAAACGCGCCACGCAAAATGCGGGGCATGTGCGTCCAGGCGCTGCCGTAGCTGTGCCAGCTGCACCCGCAACCACAGCACAGCTTGTACGCTCAACACGCTCGTGCTTGGTTAGCATTTGGATGGGAGGCACATAAGGAAAACGACATTTCCCATGCAAATCAGAGACATACATATTTACACAAAACGTAACCCACTGTTAATGGAACTGACCTTTGCAAAACTCTGCGTGGGCCTGAGAGACGTGACCAGAGACAGCCACATGCGCGCAAAGCGAGCTCTCCTCTCCAGCAGATGGGTGGAGGCAACCTGCTCTTTTGCAGCCGAGACTCAAACGAATGCTGGGGTGGATCTGCAGCAGCTGGAAAGGCTGTGTACAGGCTGCAAGTTCTTTGCTGGCTACAAAGAATCCCTTAAGAAAGAAGCCCAGGCCCAGTGAAACACTTTGGAGGGCAGAGACACAGACAGGAAGTTTCCCAGGATTGTGAGGTTTCTGTTTATGTTTTTGTGTGCCACAGACATATTATAAATCAGCCCATCCCAAACACATTTATTTTCTAAGATGTCTTGAAAGAGGAGATTATCTCAACAGGTTTCTGCCTGATGTTTAGATCACACACCTGGCTGTAAAGATGAAAGCAATAAACACAGATTGTCTATATGGGGTATACTCCTGTCTTGCTCTGATGTGCATACGCTCATTACCACTAATGAGAAGATGGCACGTCCCTTTGTGACAAACACTGTGCAGGCAGAGATAGGGACTGTCTGTACAAACACTTCACAGATCAAAAAGCACATACTGTAGTGCTCACACTGCATCTCTACACTGCTTTCTTTAAACAGTAAGCATAATATACAATAACATATACATAATGCATTCAGAGCTGATCGAAATACACTACTTCTTTCCACAGGGAATTTCTAGGTGCATTTTCTTTCCCCAAAACTTTAAAGATGGGCATTAAATGCAGCACATCCCTAAAGTGCTTTGCTAAGCCTGGCTTCCAAGCAAGCAACCAAGCACAGATGTTGCTGCTGACTTCAGCTCTAGGCAGCCTGCTGCCTCCTGGTCCATGCAGGCATTTCTGTTAGGACTAAACACGCTTCCCATGGCCAACTAAAACTATGGGACCCTCAGGGAGCAGAGTGGCAGCAGCACAGTTGTTGTCATCTCATGTGCCTATATCAGGGACCACAAGGGGACAGTGCCTGCAATGTCACTTCTGAGTGCAGGGCACTACAGCCAGATTTCCACATCATTTGGGGGATTCTGGAAAGGCCCTGCAGGTACCTCGGGGGTCCCTGAGGGACATCCGAAGGCAGAATCAGGCCCCTGGGTTCCTGCAGGTTCAAGCTCCCCATCTTTGCCTAATGTGGGAGAAGCCACCCTCAAAAAAGTCTGCCCAAATCCCGATCAGAGCAGCCAGGATTCGTGCACATACTACAGCCTGATGTGAGCAAGGTGACTGAAAATAGGCAGGTGCCTCAAGGACAGCTTGGTGAGGAGGGCTGTAGGAATTTAGTCGGCCACACTTGGGAGGACTTAGAGCATCTTTCCTGTAGCTAATGAGGGCAGCTGAGGTCAAAAGCTGGCCATGGAACTATGTTTTTTTTCCTAAATCTATACAATCCACAAACTGGGATGGTTCCCAGCCACGTTGTGTAGGATGCTGTTTTATGCAACAACCACACTCCAGCCTCAGGCTGTGACAGTACGGTGCAGTCAGCAGCGACGTCCTCAACACGAGAGTCCTGGCTCCCAGAGCATTCCTGTTTTTTGGGGTAAATAAGCAGTATCATTCAGACTCCCGAACAACATCACGTTCACATTAAAAAGAAAGAAGGTGGCAAAAGAGAAACGGGAGCTTGGAGCAAAGTCACTGGGAAGGGCAGGAGAAGGAGGACAGCACAATTTCCCTTGTAAAAGGGAAATTTCCTGCAGATCTGGAGGTCTTGCTGGATATTTTTTCCTCTTCAGAAGGGTCTCTGCTGTCTGCCTCCCCCTGAGGCTGGTGAGACCCTGCTTGGCAGCCCCAGACGTGCTGGGAGCCCAGGCCCATCCTCCCTCCAACCCTTGCAAAGCCAGGGCTGATGCTACCAACTCCCCAGGACATTTGGTTTTGAAAACCCTTTGGGAGAACAGAGTGCCTGGGACAGGCTGGTGTCCCTGAAAGCCTTTCCCAGGGACGCAGGAACACGTGCCCCGTGAGCAGGGCCAGGCTTTCCCCGGGGCTGGCTCCTTTAGCAGGCGAGGCCTGTCAGAGAAGTTCATGTCCCACACACTGGGTGTGCCCAAAGTGCCCAGCCGATGCCAGACTCAACCAGAGCCCCAGCGGCTCCCCGGGAGCCTGGATGGGGCAGAGCTCAGGTTTCGGCCATTGCATTTGCTCTTTGTGCCCCGTAGTGCATGCTGTTTGACACAGCCCTTCTCCCCTCCACGTGGGCCTGGTTCCCTGTTGCACCATTTTGCAGGGTTATTCATATTCCATATGAATCTAGGCAGAAGGACTCTGACTCCCACCCCCAACCCTTTGGATTAGACCTTGTCCTTCAGCTTCCTCTCCCATCTTCCTGCCTCCCCTGAGGACAGGGCAGCCTGTCCAGCAGCTAGGGACATGTGGCCAGGAAAGGAACGTGAAGGGCAAGGGCAGAAGCCCTCATTAAAGAGCTTGTTCAAAGATAAAACCCGGGCCATCTGTCAACTCACCGCAGCACAGTCACCGCTATCAAAATTAGCAGGGGAAAAGGAGACAGGGTGCAGGGGGAGAAACAGCACCTCTCCACCATTTCACATAGGTCTGCCTGGGATACAGGGGAAGGACGGAGTAGGGCAAAAAATCCATGGGGATAAAGATCGCGTTGTCTTGCCAGGGCAGAGGCTGCTGGCAGCGCAGGGCAGAGCCCTGCGGGGCCAGGGGGCTGCAGGATGCCCTGACCTTGTACCGTTGTGGTCCCAGCAGCGCCGCAGGGCGCCGCGCTCTGTGCCGGGGCAGGGACCGGCATCAGCCAAGGGCAGAGCAGCTCCCTGGAACAAAGGTGGCCGTTAGCATAAGGGTTATGTTTTGCCTCCTGCACAGAGGGAGCTCCCTGCAGACACCCCGTGTCCATGGGATGCCTGGGATGCGCCATGCGGCCAGCAGTGCCTGCCCCGGCCCATGCTTGAGAAGCGCTGTGGTGCGAGGCTGCCGCAGACCCCCTGCTGCAGGCACGGGGCCTCCCTGCCTCCCTCCGCCGGACCTTCTGCGTGCCAAGGCCCCGCTCCAGGGCGGGAGGCACATGGGCCTTTCGGACAGCGGCCGCATGGGGAGCTCAA